TATGGGGAGCGCTGAATCGAAATTCACGACGTAGTAGCCTGCCGAATCACGTTTGCCAAAGGGCTCCCCCCTCAACGGATGTCAAAGTGTTGGTCCCCCTGTCCGTTTGCAATTCGGCTGCTGTTGCTTCGTACTGGTTCCCGCTGAACCCATGAATTGCCTCATCCTTGTTGCACGCCCAGTTGGTTGTTACAATTCACTGACTTATCGGACTTCTTGCAAGCGTATTGTTGTTTGCCCTGTCAAACGGTGCACAATACTTACGCAATTTGCTTTAGGTTCCGGTGAAGTTGCGCTGGAATGTACTATCATTGGGACACGATCAGTGAAAAGAGGAAGGGCAAGTGCATGTCAATGTATAGTATGCTTTGCAAAAACACATATGTTTGCTACTGTATGCCGCAGTGGTTACACCTTCCTACCTGCCTGCTGGAATCCAACAATTGCATGACAGCATATGGCACCTGTTTTTTTCCAATAAACCCCGCGTAGGTAACGTTGCCGATCAACACATCGGGGCGATAGCGTACAGATTTGCGCTGCACAAAACCGTCATTTCTGGAGTAGGTTTATGATGGTTTATGTACAGTTTTGTACCGATCTAAAACTCCACAACTTCACATCCTTACAGGACCAAAGCGATTCGGAGGGGCGAAAGAAAGAAAGCAGGCAGGTGTTACCCGCCATGCCCATCTTTCACGCAAGGCGAAGCTTAATGAATGAATCACATATTGATGATCCCTTTGACCAGTAGCCTTTGACACTCCGGTTTGTTCAGGAATACACTTTGCTCAATTTGATCCCCACCAAAATGAAAATATTCCTGCTTTTCCCTCTTCATTGACGACAACCTCCTCCACCAAAATATATGTCGGAAAAGCTGCAGTGCAAAGAAAGATGTATCCCAGAGAAATATACTTCAGAAAAATGTAAGCCAAAAAAAAAGAAAATGTGTCCGGGCAGCAAAGGTAGAAAAGAAAAAAATAGAACGCAAAAATGATGAAGTATAGTTCAAGAGTCTGCTTACGCAATGTTCCATAAAAAACGGCAACAAATTGTTGTGAAATTGTTGCAGAAGTACACATCTTGCAACCCTGAGCAAGAGACAAACAGATGTTGAAAAGGTTCGACGGGAAATAAAATGTGTTGTTACTTGTCACAGAAACGCACAGTTTCCTGATCTGATTTTGACTGGGGAGGTAACAGGACAAAATTCTATATCTGGATTTTTTTCACCTTCAGTTCAGGCTGGAATGTGGTGGCGGCAACTAGGGAGGTTTGGGTTTTGTGTGTCAGGACGCTAGATTAATATTTTTCTTTAGGTGCCCCTGGCCCACGGGGCTGTGGATTAGCAAGGCAGAGCTAGGAATGCAAAATGGGTGTAAAATGGTGTAAATACTAACGAACAGTTTTTGGGGTTTGATTCCAATAAATCTCGAAAACATGAAATCCATGTGTTACAAGCAAGCCTTTGGGCCGACCTTGGGCCGACCTTGGGCCGACCTTGGGCCGACCTTGGGCCGACCTCAACAAGGTTTTGAAAACTCAATTGGTGGACGGTATGTGGCATTTCTTTCCAAAAAACTATCTTCTTAGGACAGTAAAAGACAAATACATGCAACAGATTGCAAGAGTAAACACGATGGAAGTACACTAAGTACAGTAAGTAAACACAATAAATTCAAGGAAAACCCAAGGATCCAGTGATTTTGAACAGATTGCATCCCTCCTAGAGCCTGCTTTATCACACACTTTACGATCTGGACTTCAAAAAGGAAGAAAAGGGAACCAAAACGCACAATGCCACAACAATAGTCTATGCCAAAAGCATCCCAACACAGTTGTCACATGTTTTTGTCCAGCTTGACATAGCATCATGCCACAAACGGAACGCTTCAAAAAAATAACTGGAAAGTAACTTTTTTAGCAACCGAACCGACCAAACCGTCAACCAATACGGTGTGACGATCCTTGGAGGACATCGTTTACTCAACTTCCTAGTTCTGATGGTTTCTGCTGTGGGGAAGTAGTGATTTCATGCAGGAAACCATCTGATTGAAAGGATTTTTATGCTGTATAATTTTCAAATCGAAATCAATGCAGCCGAAATATCCGGCAGCAAGAGGGGTTGAACCTGGGACCATGTTAGGCGGGGGAGAAACCTTGGAACTAAAGAACCTTCCTAATGGTCCAGATTCAGGGCTCTGCAGTTCCCTGCCCCTGAAAGATCCTAAAACACAAAGATTTGATTTTGTAAGGGACAAAACAATAACAGCACCCATTCCAGACTTCAACCACGGATAGTATCCATGTGAGACTTAGGGCACTTAGGGTTATCAGGTTGGAAGAGATGGTGGTATACAAGCGGGGGGAGCATTCCCATTGGACTCCCAAGCATCTTAGGGATGTTATGGGGTTCTCTTGAAATGGATCTCTTTGGCAAGATTTTGACCCTAATAAAATTCCATAAAAACAATATAGAACCCTTACTGTAATCAAAAAAAAACATATTTGGGAATTAATTGCGATTTTGCCAATTTGGGGATTTGGTTGGGATTTGGTGGGTGTGAATTGGGAATTAATTGGTCTTTTGGTTTGATACATTTCCCATGTTTGTAAATTTGTTGCGATTTTGTTGGGGTTGTTTGTGATTAATTAGAAACAAATTTGCAACTTTGTGGGGCTGCCATGGGGGTAAATCTTCAGTATGTACCAGGAACCTAAATAAAGCCACAGAAACCTGATAGAACCCACAAAAATCCAACAAAAACCCAACAACACCATCACAAAGAACGAAGTGAATTCCACACCAACAACACCCAAAACCCGTTGGAAATTTCACCAATTGTTGGATCCAGTGCTGCTTTTGTGGGCCCAAGTCTGGTGCCATTTTGGTTTTGGAATACCGTCGGAAAATGTGTATCTGACAACCTCTGGTCGGGTGGAGCGGGGAAAAGAAGGAGTTGTCTTCCCTGAGACAATAGCATTTCACATCACAAGAGCAATTGCACCCATTATTGTAGAGATTGCAATTGTAGTAGAAAATAGTGTTAGAGGAATGCTGTTGCAGAAAAAAATATTTAAGGAAAAAATGACTTATATTATTAAGCGTGTAATGACTACAAACATCACCGAGAAACTGCAGAATGAAATGAGCAAATGTAATGTTTGCAGGCTATCAAATATCAGAGCTTTAAAAAAACAAATGAAAATTTACCCAATGATGTAATTAATCATATTTGATTGCCAGTCTTGGAAGAATGATTCCTTTGAATTGTTACACTTCTCGATTTGTGCGTGTCATCCTTGCGCATTGCGGTTAGTTTAGATTTTTTTGGTGATTAGGTTTCTTTTAGGGTTGGGGGTTTAGAGATTATTTAAGTTTGGTTTAAGATCTATTTGGGGTTGGTTTAGGGCTTTTTTAGGGTTGGTTTTAGGGTTTATTTAGGTTTGGTTTAAAATCTGTTTAGGCTTGGTTTAACATCTATTTGGGGTTGGTTTATATAAGGATTATTTAGGTTTGGATTGGCATCTACTTGGGGTTGGTTTGGGATCTATTTGGGGTTAGTTTAGGGTTTATTTAGATTTATAGATAACATATATAATATATATATATACATAGTTGTTAATTGATTTAGGGTGTGTTTGCGGTTTACTTGAAGTTGCTTTAGCTTTTCTGGGGTTGGTTTGGGGTTTACTGTACTTAGGATTGATTTAGGGCTGGTTGAGGGTTTATTGAAATGATTGAAATGATGTTTCTTTGGGTTTATTTGTGAGAATTGAGAAACAAAAAAAAAAATGCAGGGAAAAGCAGAGAAGCAGAAAAGTGAATAAGCAGAGAAGCAGGGAAAAGCAGAAAAGAGGAGAAGCAGAGAAGCAGGGAAAGCGGACAAGCGGAGAAGCGGAGAAGCAGGGAAAGCGGAGAAGCGGAGAAGCAGAGAGGCAAAGAAGCAGAAAAGCAGAAAATTAAAGCAGAGAAGCAAAGAAACAAAGAAGCAGAAAAGCAGAGAAGCAGGAAAACACAGAAAAGCAGAGAAGCAGGCAAGCAGGCAAGGGAAAAGCAAAAAAGCCGAGAAACAAAGAAGCAGGAAAAAAAAAAATGGCGAAATGGGAAAGGAACACTTCCCAAAAACAATAGTCCTCCGCATAAAAAGAAAGGAAAAAAGAAGGGAAGAGATACTGGCTTCACAGGAGCACGGCTACCAATGTATATACTAGGACGCAGCTAGTCCAAAACCTGTCTCTGCCCCCAGACTTCATGCTGGCATTCCACTAAAGTTGCCGCACCGTGCTGATGCAGTATGGAGGTATGAGGTATATATAGTCGTTTTGATTTGCTCAATGCTCAGCGATCTTGATTCGGAGGCTTCGATTTGATTTGCTACTGCATGTTGGTGCAGAGTTCAGTCACAGCCTCTTTAGTAACGTACGCCTGAAACAAGAATCCTCTCTGTTTATAAACCAAAACAGGATCACACTCGTCGCAGCAGAAGGCCGCATAATCGAGTTAGTAAACTTGGAATCTAGAATGCCTTGGTGTACAGGGACAAAGATTTTAAATAAAGATGCACGTATTCATAAAAACAACGTAACTGTCAAAAATCAGATTGTGATTGAGAAAATACATAGATAATTTGCATATTGAAGAATAATCCTGGTGATGCGATGTTATTCCTGCAGCATGCGAGCCACAAATGTCCACAAAGAATGGAACGCTGATTCATCGTGGGTTTGAAACATCCCTCAGCCTGACGGATCAATAATCTATAATCAGTGGGTAATGTAACTGCATTCACCTTGAAAAGAATGATTGCTACATGCCCCTGCCCACAAAAACATGTTTGGATGCACAGCGACTTTTCCTGGCCTCACAATACTTTGCTGTGAGAAGTCTTGCAATTACCTCAATTTGTTCATAATTTGAGCTATGTACAGTGACTTGATGTGACTTGTTTACTTTTGTTCTGTGTTTTCGATTGTGTCAGGTTGTCTCTGTGACTGTGACGTCTGCCCATGCGATTCTGGTGAGACAAACCCCGAACCAATTTTCACTCAAAGTTCACCTTGGCAACATTGGCAAATGAACCTTCAGGTAAATTGGTCAGATTCGGTCAGACTATTCAAATTAGTACCAAGGCCCCAGCATTTCCAATCGAAATACCAACAAAACAGGCAAATTTGCTGCAACATCAGATTCAATTCTCTGTTCCGGACCATTCGGTTTCCCTTGGGCTGCCTTGCAATTTAAGAGTGCTGTGGGATCAGAAACAAAATGATGAAATTATCCCAAAATGCACACCTCAGGAGAAAGGTTTCGAGAGTCTTCTGATTTGTACCTGCAACCGTCGCCGCTTGACCACACTTGTTTAAAGATGCACCTATGTAATGAACACGCACATTTGGACAACGCATCACAAAAGGTCGCCACTGCTGTATTTTTTTGCTGATCATGACCACCATCAACATGATCAGAAAGGCTCCTGCCTGGCATCAACATATTGATTGTAGGTTCCTTTCATGCTATGTTCTGTTCGAATTGTGCCATTTTTGTGTTCTTCCCAGTCCTTGAAGAGGAACTGATACCTGGCTAGAGACAGCAACCGACACTTTTCCAGAGGTCCATCAGAACTGTCAGAACTCTTTCAGATTCTGCAACCAAGAAACTGAACTCGTTTTTGCCTGCTTTTCCGTCTGGCCTTCGCCTTCGCATGAAATTGCGCCAATTCCTGAGTAAACAAACCACAAAAACCTGCAACATTGGCAGTGGTAAAAATAATGTAAAAATGGCAAATTTGAAACATTCGAAACTCAGATGTTTTCATCTCCAAGGTCTGGCCCTTCGATGCTGTCCTTGCAAAATTTGAGTTCAAAGTTGATTATGAATAAATTAGCAACAAAACATTTTCAAACCGAACGACAAACAAATGCACACACGTCACACACGTTCCGCCAGGGTCCTTTGTGGCCATTGCGTCGGAAGTTTGAAACCTGATCTCACCATCACTGCTTTAAAGGTTCGATGGTTTCACAACTGAGATCCAGGCAATTTGCCGTGGCCTCAACAAATTAACGTCGACGCAAAACACGTGTAATTATTCAAAAACACAAGAACACGAGTCCAGTACCATCTGTCGTTTCCTGCAGCAGTGGCACATGGGTCAATCATTCATCACAAACATTTCAGCTGTCCACACAGCGTCCTCGGATTTCAAATGTGACATTGCGTGAACTGGTTACAAACAAACTACACTGTACTTGAATGATATGTTTCAATGTCATTTGATGCATTTTGTCCATGTCTAAAATTTGGTATGTTTTATCTTGGGATATGTAATCAAAATTGAGCATCATTGTTCAAAATCGTTTTCGATATGGAATAGATTTCAGAAACCTGTTTGTGGTGTTTCAGTTCCACTAGCTATCAAATATGTTCCTGATTCAAACACAAATACCCAAACATACCCCAATTTTTAATGCCTAAGGCATTTTGGATCAATTCGTGCAAAAATACACCTTGGGAATCTTTGGCGAACTAATTGAATTTGATAAACTGCATATATTCTCTACAAAACGACATTGCATTTTTTTGCGCGTATTTATGTGACGAATCTTTGAGCCCCGTGTTGGCACACAAGAACACGAAATAGTGAGCATGCATTACATATGCGTTACATTTAATTTATAATCCAATCATCCGCATTTTGAAAAACATTTGGTTTGTGTGTGTGTTGGAAAAAACAGTAAGGCCGAAATGAAACCCATCCCTTGCAACATTTCAAGGAAATGTGCAAACAATCAAATCCACCGTGTGTGGAAACAAACGACCATTCAGTTACAACAAAATCGAAACCACAAGTTTTGGGAACCAATTTTCAAATTGCGTGCAAAAGCATGAAAAATAATGAAAATCCCCACTGGTGCGCGCAACAAACTTCTCAAAACAGTCAAAATGGTCATGAAACCCCTCGTTGAAAACATTCACAAATTTTCGACGTTTGGATATTTGGAAACCCACAATGGGAAGTGTGAATTTGGAAACATTGGATTCTTGGTGGTCCAAGTTCCGGAGACGTTTGCCTTTGCCACATACATTTTGGGAGTGCGACAGCAATGGCAGTTATAGCTATATGGGTGACCCTTCAAAGTAGGCGCGTATTGCGCGCAAAACACATCCAAGTATTTATATTCACAAACATAAACAACATCAAAACACATACCAAAACATAACATCAAACCCCAAAACATCAAAGACCCACAACGACGACACTCGCTCTCTCCCTCACGGAAAACACAGCAAACATGAATATGAAATAAACGAGCGATCACACGCATTTGTTTTTCCGCTTTGGCAGTCGAGGGGAAATCTGAAAGTTTTCACCAGTGCACATCATACATATGATTGTGCTTCACATCTTTGTCCATTGACAAAGTTCACACTTTTGGTTTCACACATGTTTCACATTTTCATTTCTTATCCCCTCCGTGTTTGCATAGGGTAGGGAGACGAGAAACGAGGGCGGGGCAAACACAAAATTTTTAATGGGCACACCCGCCCACCCACCACTGTTTGAGGCGGCGTGGTAACATATATTTCATGTGAATGCCACACCCATAAAAATGAGATTGATCGAAACAATGTGAAACCTCATACCTTTGCCTTGAATTGCACGTCTGATTCAGGAAACATTTTTTTTTGCACACTTTGTGCAACCCTGAAATGAACATGCAACATGAAACACAGAGTTCCGAAAGATTTCATTCGAAACAATTCATGTCACGTGTTTCGTGCACCACAAAACATGTTCACAAAAATACACCGCATTTTGTTGTTTTTTTTAAGGGCGTTCACATCGTTCACTTTCACCCTAAGCTATAAACCGCTATTAGCAAGCTAAACGCAACCTTATAGCTATATGGGTGACCCTTCAAAGTAGGCGCGTATTACGCGCAAAACACATCCAAGTATTTATATTCACAAACATAAACAACATCAAAACACATACCAAAACATAACATCAAACCCCAAAACATCAAAGACCCACAACGACGACACTCGCTCTCTCCCTCACGGAAAACACAGCAAACATGAATATGAAATAAACGAGCGATCACACGCATTTGTTTTTCCGCTTTGGCAGTCGAGGGGAAATCTGAAAGTTTTCACCAGTGCACATCATACATATGATTGTGCTTCACATCTTTGTCCATTGACAAAGTTCACACTTTTGGTTTCACACATGTTTCACATTTTCATTTCTTATCCCCTCGTCCGCTTCAGCTCATGTCATGTCGTAGGATTTCATTCTGGTCTTTGATATGGGGCACTCAGGGTCAATCACATTTATCTTTCCAAGAAAGGCTATTTCCGAGATTCTCCCTCTGCTTGGAGGGTCAGCAGGGTTTGAAGAAGAAGGGACTCTGGCAGTCCATAGGTGCATGGGATGACTTTCGTCGATGGCCTCCAAAGCAAGCAAAACGTCGCGCCATTCTTTGACGCTCGAAGTTCCTTTGACTATCACGTACGCAGGCCAGGAGTCGGTGAACAAGATCACACGGTCATTGCAAAAGGCTCTTTTCCAAGTGTTCAAACCAACCACTGCAGCATATAGTTCGACTAGGCCAATGACATCCTCCCTCTCGCCTGCCACGCTTGCAGCAAGCTTTCAGGTACATTGCATCCAAAACAAAATACTTTTCCTTCTCGGTCGCACATGACACCTCCGATGGTAGCTTCAGGTCTGCCATCTGTGTCGTATTCCAAGGCCCCGTCTGTAAACAGCAAGTGAGGTTTGCATGGCATTGACGCTCGGATTTCTCTGGGTTTTCCATTTGTGAATCTCTCCAGCAAGACCAACAGCGCTTCTCGGGCTTCCGGGGTGACAGGGACCGACCCAGACTTGTGCACTGTTGCTTCCCTCAAATCAGCCAAAGCAAGTCTTCCTGCACGGCCCCACAACTGAGCTTCGGCAAACTGAAGCTTCCCCAAATAGGAGGGCAACTTGCTCGCATCCACAAAACCACATTGTAAAATTTCATTGATACATCCTGAGACCTCCTCCACTCTGGAAGCTTTGTTTCGAACTCTTATAAAACCATCTGTCGCGCTCTCCAAATCGAGCTCAACTCCAAGCATCGTCGCAACCTTGCCAAAGGGCTCTAGTTTCAATCCCAATGCCGTCGACAAGGTGCTCTGTCTGTTGGCAACGTTGCAAACCAAAGGGAAGTCGTCAAAGAACGCTCCCCAACACAGCCCAGCATGAAGTCCTACAGAGTGCAAGAAACTGCTAACCCTAAGGAAGTGATGTACGCTCGCTGCCGCCCCAAAGGGCAACGTTCTCATCAGGAAGCAGGATGGTTTGTTGTGCTGAACATCCCAAAGGCTGACAACAGTTCTGTGGTATTCGCAAGGGTTCAAAGGCAGCTGTTTGTAGGCCGCTTTCATGTCCACGCACGTAGCCTCAACACCAAAAGCGACCTTGTTCCATGCAGGGTGCACATGACCTCTCAAGACCTCGCCAGTGCTCAAAACAAACGCAACTTCGCCAAAGAGTCTCATGTATCTCACAAGTGTCACCAGCATCCAAAGGACATGTTCCATCGCCTTCAGCTCTATCTTCTCAAAACATCCAAAAGTAAGGTTGAGCATTGACTCTTTGAAATTGTCGATCGGCCTCAGTTTTTCTTTCTGCATTATTCCAAATCTTCTCACCGGCAACCATTCGTCTCCAAGCTGTTCGTACATTTCTTTAACATCATAAGGTCCATCCAACCATCTTTTCTCGGTTGCTTCTTCCAGGGTTGTTCTAAAAAGTTCCTTCTGCAGTTCATCGTCCTCAAAATTTCTCAGACGACCCAAGATGGCCGGGCGCAGAAACTTGACGTTCTTCTTCAGCTCTTCTTCGCTCAAGCTGGGAATGGTCACTCCAGGTTTGAATACGCCAGTGGACTCAAAGTTGCCGACCAACTTGAAACCAGATCTCATCTCTTTGAAGAGGCTCATGTCGGGCCAACCCATTTCAGTCGCCAGCTCTTCCATCAGCAACACTCGTTTCCCTGCCATGATACGCTGCACGTGCACCGACATGGACTGATGCACTTTCAGTTCTTCCGACTGCAACTGAACCGCTCTTGTAGACCATTTCTTCAAAAATTGGCATCTTTGTTTAGCCAAAAGGTGTGGTGATTCGGTCAGGTTCATGAAGAGCGATTTGATCATGTTATCTGGTAAATTTCTCAGCTCATCAAATGGGTGCCACAAAGTTTGCGCAGCTCACGAACTGCGACATTGTACGGTATATTCCAAAAACGCACAAAAACTTGGATGGATTCCCCCTGTTCGCTTCAGCTCTCAAAAGTTTGCTACCAGCAGGAATGGGACCTTGTGCATGTATCAGTTGTTTCTTGCTGTCAACTGCCGGCACCGCATCCAACACGCAAGAAGTTACATCCAAAAACTCAGGAATGATTTGGGGTGTCTTTCTGCCTTTTGGCTGAATCTGTGGCAACATCCTGTCAGTTTTCGCCTGCAGTAAAGTGTTGTCCATGAAACCTTCAAGTATGCGTGCATACTGCTGGCACATCTGCAGCGGGTATTCCGCCTCCTTCGCTGTATTGAAGCACTTGCTGTTGCTGTCATAGCCCCAACCCTCATGCTGGTGCGGTGCAACGTCGTCACAAAACCTGGACATTGCCTGAAACTCATCTCTGTTGGCCAGAAAGCTTGTCAACTTCTTTCTGGTGCTACCATATGCACATGCGTGGCAATCAAATTTGATCCCATGAGCCATTGCAAAAGCGAAAAACGGCAAGTCCCACAGAAAACTGTTAGTAGGGTTCTCAATCGTCCATGGTATGTTGTGGCATTCCAAAATTTCAACCAACCGTCCCAACTGCGAATAAAGCAAGTTTGCCGCATCAACCCTGGCACGATCATGAGGACGTAGGCCTGGTAAGCCTAACAGGTGTGACTTCGACCTCAATGGTTGAGGCCCTGCTGAACCATCTGCCATCGGGATCCCTCTCGCTTTGCTACATGTCCCACACGGAGGCCCTATGTGGACTCCCAACAGCACGCAGTTGTGGATCATTGCAGAGATCCTGTCTATTGCATAGGGTTGACTGAGGTCCATGCTGATGACTTTGCACTTCGTTTTATGCCTGTTTGAATCATGGTCGAACGCAAAAACTTCAACTCCAATCTTCTTTACCTCCGCTGACAAGGAAGCGCTCCCGGCGCATAGCTCAAGGAAAACGTATGGTTTGTCTGCCTTTGTGCCCACATCGTCAACCTGTTTGAAATCCGAAAAATTTGCATCTGCCTTTTCAGGAAAAACATTCGTTGTGTCTACATGCATATGGGTCTCAAGCTCGCCCCCGGCACTGTTTTCAACAACAGCGTCTTCATTGGACGCTTTCCCGAGGGTCTGACAGCTATGAGCCGTTTGTCACGATCCCTTCTGGCAGTCTAAGGCAGGGTGAGCACGAAAACGACCCTGCACAGCGCACACATGCAAGCCCTTTGGGCACTTCTGCCCATTCACATCACACTTCTTCAAATTGTAAGAAAAGCAAATCCTGTGATTTTTGGGGGTCGCTGCAACGCAACTCAACTTCAAGAGATCATGTGGAATTCGAACAAAAGCTCCATTGTTGCCTTTGCTTTTTCCTTTGCCCTTTCCACCCTCACGCCTAGGTTTCTTGGCCGGTGGTTCACCTGCGTTGCTATTGGCCTCTCTGGTTCTTTCTGGCTGCGCTGACATGCTGATGGGTTGAGGTTGAAGCAACGCAGGCACTTCTGACGACTCTGTGCATTCTTTGAAAACTAAATCCAAAGGCCTCCCCGTGGTTGTGCACTTGATTCCTTCTCTCGTTTTCTCAGCCAGTATGCAAAACAGCTTCCTATCTGCTAACTCCAATTGTTTCATTGTCGTTCGTGCAAAGCCTGGAGAAGGTTCTTCTAAACGGCTCTGCAAAAGTTTCTCTGTCCACGTTTCCATCAACTTGAAGTCCAGCAAGTTTGACTGGTCAAAAGCCAAGGCTCTCCTGACCAAGCAGTAGCGCACCTGAATTTCACTTCCTGTTGGACAAGGCTCTGCTTTCTGTTGTTTTGCCATTTTCAATGAACCTGAAGCATCAAAAGTGAGTGAAGCATCTTTCTTGGTTCCCGACAGCAATTCATGTTCCCTCGAAACCGCCGAGGACCATTCAACGTACTGCAATCTGTCACTGTCGTAAATGCTGATGCAACGGTCTATCAATGTATCTCCAGGTTCATACTGTCCAGTGATACTAATGCCAGCCAAACGGAGTTGCTGATCTTTCAAACGACTTGCACGCTCAGCTGGAGCCAGGCGCCTGGCTGGAGTCTCATCCGTGGCCTCCGTCCGGGCCTTGATATCAGATGCTACGTTGGCGTAGCTCTCATTGAACAATCGCCTCATGCAAGACAGCTCAAGGGTGCTGGGGTCTCTCCTCAAAAGTTTTCTAATCAAATCTGTGAAGGGCTTCTCATCTGGAGATCCTGGAGAAAAATTGCAACTGAAAGCAAAAAGTGCCATCGTTTTGATTCCTTCGTTTGTCAGGCATTCCACAACGTCTGTCTCCAGACCTATTTCACCAGCTCTTTGTTTGAAAACTGCTTCACTGTCTCCAAAACTCATGGCGGCAACACCCCGGTGCTAAGCTAAGGTTCAGGTGTACGCATGCGATTGTCAAAACCTGACCATCCTGGAGGGACCTGCACATCTTATGACAACTGTTTCGTGTAACATGTCTCCAGTTTTGTGTCATGAAGTTGAAAGACATGAAACTTGACTGCAGCCTACAAACGTTTGTAATGGGCACACCCGCCCACCCACCACTGTTTGAGGCGGCGTGGTAACATATATTTCATGTGAATGCCACACCCATAAAAATGAGATTGATTGAAACAATGTGAAACCTCATACCTTTGCCTTGAATTGCACGTCTGATTCAGGAAACACTAGACGACGGATGGCCCGAGAGCGTAGAGGAGCAGAGTCTTCTGTTGTTAGTATGGAGACACTATATTACAAAATAATATGATAAAGATGTATTATAGGCAGACGAGAAGAGTAGTATCAAGACAATATATGACTAGTACAAGACAATAGTTTGCATCGTATTTTTGTAAAGTTTTTCATACACAGAACTTTTTACAGACAGACGCTTTTGCACACAGAGACTTTTACACACAGACGTTTTTACACACAGACGATTTTGCATACAGAGACTTTTACACCCAAACACTTTTACACACAGAGACTTTTACATACACAGACGCTTTTACACACAGAAGCTTTTACACACAGACGCTTTTACACACAGACGCTTTTACACACAGACGCTTTTAAACACAGACGCTTTTACACACAGACGCTTTTTACACACAGGCTCTTTTACACACAGACGCTTTTACACACAGAGACTTTTACACACAGACGCTTTTACACACAAGCGCTTTTACACACGGACGCTTTTACACACAGACGCTTTTACACACAGACGCTTTTACACACAGACGCTTTTACACACAGACGCTTTTACACACAGACGCTTTTACACACAGACGCTTTTACACGCAGAAGCTTTTACACACAAACACTTTTACACACAGACGCTTTACACACAGACCCTTTTACACACAGACGCTTTACACACAGACCCTTTTACATACAGACTCTTTTACACACAGACGCTTTTACACACAGATGCTTTTGCACACAGAGACTTTTACACACAGGCGCTTTTACACACAGACGCTTTTACACACAGACGCTTTTACACACAGACGCTTTTACACACAGATGCTTTTACGCACAGACGCTTTGACACACAGATGCTTTTACACACAGACGCTTTGACACACAGACGCTTTTACACACAGAGGCTTTTACACACAGACGCTTTTACACACAGACGCTTTGACACACAGACGCTTTTACACACAGACGCTTTTACACACAGAAGCTTTTACACACAGACGCTTTTACACACACAAGCTTTTGCACACAGACGCTTTTGCACACAGACGCTTTTTACACGCAAACGCTTTCACACACAAACACATTTACACACAGAGGCTTTTACACAGAAACACTTGAACACAAACACTTTTACACACAAACCCTTTTACACACAGACGCTTTTACACACAGACACTTTGACACACAGACGCTTTTACACACAGACGCTTTTACACACAGAGACTTTTACACACAGACGCTTTTTACACACAGGCGCTTTTACACACAGACAAGAAGGGCACAAGTAAAATCGCACTTTTACCTCAGTTTTTGCCGATCGACCCTCATTTCGCGCGAAAGGGTTGCTCCAGGACAAGTAAAATCGCACTTTTACCTCAGTTTTTGCCGATCGACCCTCATTTCGTGCGAAAGGGTTGCTTTAGCACGCGTAAAATCGCAGTTTTACCTCAGTTTTTGCCGATCGACCCTCATTTCGTGCGAAAGAGTTGCTCCGGCACAAGTAAAATCGCACTTTTACCTCAGTTTTTGCCGATCGACCCTCATTTCGTGCGAAAGGGTTGCTCCAGGACAAGTAAAATCGCAATTTTTCATCAGTTTTTGCCGATCGACCCTCATTTCGTGCGAAAGGGTTGCTTTAGCACAAGTAAAATCGCAGTTTTACCTCAGTTTTTGCCGATCGACCTTCATTTCGTGCGAAAGGGTTGCACGGGGGCAAGTCAAATCGCAATTTTTCTTCAGTTTTTGACGATCGACCCTCATTTCGTGCGAAAGGGTTGACGTTTCGTGACTCGCCGCCGGCACCACCCCCGGCCTTAAGAGAGAAAGATAAAGAAGGCGAGAGAGAGAAAAGGGAGAGAGAAAGGAGAGAAGATGTGAAGATGAGCAGATGTGAGAGAAGATGTGAGAGAAGATGTGAGAGAGATGTGAAGATGAGCAGATGTGAGAAAGATGAAGATGTGAGAGACGGTGTGAAGATGAGCAGATGTGAGAGAAGATGTTAGATGTGAGAGAAGGTGTGAAGATGAGCAGATGTGAGAGCAGATGTGAGAGAAGATGTGAAGATGAGCAGATGTGAGAGAAGATGTGAGAGAAGATGTGAAGATGAGCAGATGTGAGAGAAGATGTGAAGATGAGCAGATGTGAAGATGAGCAGATGTGAGAGAAGATGTGGACATGAGCAGATGTGAAGATGAGCAGATGTGAGAGAAGATGTGAGAGAAGATGTGAAGATGAGCAGATGTGAAGAGAGGAGCAGATGTGAAGATGAGCAGATGTGAGAGAAGATGTGAGAGAAGATGTGAAGATGAGCAGATGTGAGAGAAGATGTGAGAGAAGATGTGAAGATGAGCAGATGTGAGAGAAGATTTGAAGATGAGCAGGTGTGAGAGAAGATGTGAGAGAAGATGTGAAGATGAGCAGATGTGAGAGAAGATGTGAAGATGAGAAGATGTTTTACAGACCCCCACTATTGGAAGAACCCTGCGCTCAGACGCTCTCGGGAAAAAGCTTTTACACACAGAGGCTTTTACACAAACACTGTAACACAAACACTTTTACACACAGAAGCTTTTACATACAAACACTTTTACGCACAGACGCTTTTACACACAAACCCTTTGACACACAGACGCTTTTACACACAGACGCTTTCTACACACAGACGCTTTTTACACACAGACGCTGTCACATACAAACAGACGCTGTCACACACAAACACATGTACACACAGAGGCTTTTACACAAACACTTTTACACAAACACTTTGACACAAACACTTTTGCACACAGAAGCTTTTACATACAAACACTTTTACACACAGACGCTTTTACACACAAACGCTTTGACACACAGACGCTTTTACACACAGACAACCTCTACACACAGACGCTTTTTACACGCAAACGCTTTCACACACAAACACATTTACACACAGAGGCTTTTACACAGAAACACTTGAACACAAACACTTTTACACACAAACACTTTTACACGCAGACGCTTTTACACACAGACACTTTGACACACAGACGCTTTGACACACAGACGCTTTTACACACAGAGACTTTTACACACAAACACTTTTACACACAGACGCTTTTACACACAGACACTTTGACACACAGACGCTTTGACACACAGACTCTTTTACACACAGAGACTTTTACACACAGACGCTTTTTACACACAGGCGCTTTTACACACAGACAAGAACGGCACAAGTAAAATTGCACTTTTACCTCAGTTTTTGCCGATCGACCCTCATTTCGTGCGAAAGGGTTGCTCCGGCACAAGTAAAATCGCAGTTTTACCTCAGTTTTTGCAGATCGACCCTCATTTCGTGCGAAAGGGTTGCTCCAGGACAAGTAAAATCGCAGTTTTACCTCAGTTTTTGCCCATCGACCCTCATTTCGTGCGAAAGGGTTGCTCCGGGACAAGTCAAATCGCATTTTACCTCAGTTTTTGCCGATCGACCCTCATTTCGTGCGAAAGGGTTGCTCCGGGACAAGTCAAATCGCAATTTTACCTCAGTTTTTGCCGATCGACCTTCATTTCGTGCGAAAGGGTTGCTCCGGGGCAAGTAAATCGCAGTTTTACCTCAGTTTTTGCCGATCGACCCTCATTTCGTGCGAAAGGGTTGCTCCGGGGCAAGTCAAATCGCAATTTTACCTCAGTTTTTGCCGATCGACCCTCATTTCGTGCGAAAGGGTTGCTCCGGGGCAAGTCACATCGCAATTTTACCTCAGTTTTTGCCGATTGACCCTCATTTCGTGCGAAAGGGTTGGCGTTTCGTGACTCGCCGCCGGCACCACCCTCGGCCTTAAGAGAGAAAGATAAAAAGAAGGCGAGAGAGAGAAAAAGGAGAGAGATGTGAGAGAAGATGTGAAGATGAGCAGATGTGAAGATGAGCAGATGTGAAGATGAGCAGATGTGAGAGAAGGTGTGAAGATGAGCAGATGTGAGAGAAGATGTGAAGATGAGCAGATGTGAAGATGAGCAGATGTGAGAGAAGATGTGAAGATGAGAAGATGTGAGAGAAGATGTGAGAGAATATGTAAGAGAAGATGTGAGAGAAGATGTGAAGATGAGCAGATGTGAGAGAAGATGTG